TGTTTCCTCTCCACCTATCCTCTCCTCTATCCATCTTCTATCCGCCTCCCACTCTCTCCCTATTTATTTCAGAACCCCCTTCCCCTCCTCCTTTTCTGATGAAGGGTCTAGGCCCGAAACGTCAGCCTCTCTGCTCCTATGATGCTGCTTGGCCTGCTGTGTTCATCCAGCCCTGCACCTTGTTGTCTCTGTCATTGGTCCTCTGCCGTTGGGTGAAGAAGTCACATCGGTGTTCAGGGTGGGTGAAGCAACATTTCTCCAACAGTGACATTAAAGTTGTTGAGTGGGAAACGGGTGTGTTTGATTGGTACCTGTTCGGGATACCAATTGGTTCTGGGTCCATGGCTCTGTGTGAATACACATCATTCCTACACTATAACACTGTGCTCCCTGTACTCAGCTCTCCTCAGATGGTCAGGGGAGCTGGCTAAAACCACATCCTGTGTTTACACACTCATAGATCTCATCTCTCTGCCTATGTCTCCAGCTCTCTTTCTGCCTTTCTATCTCTCCCTGTCTCTCTCCTTTTCTCTTTCTCCCTCCCCCTTTCTACCTCTCTCTCCTTTCTATCTCTCTCTCACACTTTCTATCACTCTGTCTCCCTTTCCATCTCTCCCTGTCTCTTTCTATCTCTCTCTCTCTCCCTCCCTTTCCCTTTCTCTCTCAATCCTTTTCTCTCTCTTTCATTCTATCTCTCCCTCTCTCACACTCCCTCTCTCTCACCCCCTTTCTCTCTCTCCTTTTTGTCTCTCCTTTTCTGTCTCTCCCGCTCCCTTGCTCCCTCGCTCACACATACACACACTCTCTCTGTTTTTCTCTCCCTCTGTCTCTGCCCCTTGCTTTCTCTCTCTCTCTGTCTCTCGCACACATTCTGCCTCTCCCGTGCTACCTCTGTCTGTTTCTCTCCCTCCTCTCTCTTCCCTGACGCCGCTCGTAACTTTCCCTCACATTCCTTCTCCTCCTGCACCCCCCATCTCTCCCTTTCTCCTTGCTCCCTGCTTCTCACTCCTTCACTCCCGATTTCTCTCTCGCACCCCCCCTTCTCTATCCTTTAAACTCTGATGGAGCAGGCAAGCATGTTTCTGAGAGACTGTGAGGAGGCTTCGCCCAGACATATGGTTGTGTTTAACTTAATCAGGGCCTGAGATCTCACTGTGTTGAAGGGACACGTTTGGTATGTTTGCTGGGGGTGGGGGGAGTTGGAAGAAAGTTGGAGGAGGAGCAGCAGTTTCTCTGGCACAAGGCAAGTGGGCACACAGCAGATCGCACTGTGTCCATGTTTCGGAGAGAGCGTACAAGCTAGCCAGGAGGGTGGTGGTGTTTGGGGTTGGGGTGAGGTTGCAGGGGGGAAAATGCAGCCCTGGTTTTCTTCTGTCTCTCACTGTCTCTGTGTGTCTCTCTCTCTCTTCATCTCTGTCTCTCTTTGCCCCCCCCCCAGTCTCTCTGATTGTCCCTCTCTCTCTCCCTCTTCACATCTCTCTCTCTCTCCATCGCTGCCTCCCTCTCTCTCTCTGACCCCCTCTCCCCTTCACTCTCTCTCTCCCTCTCTCTCTCTCTCCCCCTCTTCACACATCTCCGTCTCCCGCCCCCATCAATCTCGACCCTCTCTCCCTCCCCCTTCCTTCCTCCCACCCTCTCTCTCTCTCCCACCTCGCTCCCTCTCTCTCCCTCCCTCTCTCCCCCACTCCCTCCCCCTCTCCCTTCCTCTCCCTCTCCCACTCCCTCACTTCATCTCCGCACGTTCTACCCCTCTCTCTCCTCCTGCCTCCCTCCCTCACTCCTTCTCCCTCTCTCTCCCACTCCTTCCTTCCTCTTCTCACCCTTTCCCTCTCTCTCTCTCCCCCTCCCTTCGTCCCCCTTCTCCCTCTCTCTCCCACTCCCTCCTTCCTCTCCTCACCCTCTACCTCTTGCTCTCTCCTTCCCTCCCTCTCCTTCTCCCACTCCCTCCCCTGCCCTTCCCCTCTCCCTCCCCCTCTCTTTCTCTCTTCCCCCCCCCCCCACCCCCTCTCTCTCTCTCTCTCTCTCTCTCTCTCTCCCTCCCAGGATGTGTAAATAATGTATGTGGGCCGTGTTTGAAGAGAAACAGTGCTGAACATTCCAGCAAATTCCTTTCCCTTGATCTCTTGCTGTAAGCACCAGCTGCTGCCTCCTGTTTCCTTTCGCAGAGAGACTGCGTGCTCTTTAATCCCTCCAAACTGAGGCCATTCCCAGCTCCTCATGGCCGCTATGCCTGCCCCATCTCCCACAGCCCAACAGAGCTGAGTACACGCTCCCTCTCACTCACTCTGCCATCTAACCGCACACTCCCTCAGGCTCCTCTTCCATCCTACCTCTTATCCATCTCTTCCACACACGCTCTCTCTCAGCTACACTTTCTTGCACTCTCTCACGCTGTCCATCTCTCTTTCTGACCCATTCTCTTTCTCACTCTCTTTCGTTTTCTCTCCCTATCTCTCAGTGTCTCACTCTGTCTGTCTCTCTCTCTCTTTCTCACTCTCTCTCATTATCTTGTCTTTCTTTCTCTCTGTGTGTCTCTGTCTCTCCAGCTGTCTCTCTCTCTCTCTCTGTGTCCCTTTCTCTATCTCTCTCTCTCTATCCCTCCCTCTGTCTCTCTTCCTGTGTGTGTGTGTCTCTCTCTCTTTTTCCTTCTTTCTCTCTCTCTCTCCCCCAACCCCATCTCTCTCTCTCTCTCTCCTTCTGTATGTCATTTTCTTTGACTCTGTCTGTCTTTCTCACTCTCATGCTCTCTCATTCCCTCTGTCTCTCACACATGCATACTCTCTAGAAATAAAAGCCTACTACACAGGAACAGGAGGCCATTCAGCCCCCCTGAGCCTATTCCCCCATTCAATCCATATCTTAATCCCTACCTACCCACCTCGGCCCCTTAACCCCCTACACACCCAACTCTGATCGATTCTTCCTCACCCCCTTACTTCCCCAGGCTCTTAGCCACCTTTTCTGGGCAGTGAGCAACAGAGAGGGATGGAGCCAATCAGAGAGACAGAAAGAGAAAGAAAGACATTAGAAAGACAGTCAGAATGACAGATAGAGGAAGAGAGGCAGAGAGCAAGTGAAAGAGATGGAGGGAGAGGCAGAGAAACAAAGGGATAGAGACAGTTACAGAGAAAAAGAGAGACACAGAGAGAAGCAGAGTGAGAGAGAGAGACAAAAGGAGAGAGAGAGAGACAGAAAGTGGGGGAGACAGAGAGAAGCGGAGTGTGAGAAAGAGAGAGACAGGGAGAGAGAGAGATTTTTAATCAGGAAGGGGGATCGAGGGGTTATATTCGAGGCTGAGAGAGAGAGAGATGTTTAATCAGGAAGGGGGATCGAGGGGTTATATTCGAGGCTGAGAGAGAGAGAGAGATGTTTAATCAGGAAGGGGGATCGAGGGGTTATATTTGAGGCTGAGAGAGAGAGAGATGTTTAATCAGGAAGGGGGATCGAGGGTGAAAAAGGCAGAAAAGTGGGGTTGAGGGTGACCAGATTAACCATTGAATGGGGGTGTGGGGGGTCGGGTGGGGGAGGGGGATAGCTGACCCGATGGGCCTAAATTCTGCTCCGAAATCTCACGGAACGACGACGCAGGGAACAGATCCGTGTCGGCGGCGCGGGCAATCCCGGGAGCGAGGGAACGAGAGGAGATCCCGTCGACTCCTACCTGTCGGAGGGGCGGTGAGGCAGAGGGAGCCGAAGACGAGGAGGAGAGGGGAGAGTGGAGAACCGGGGGGAGACATTGTAAAACAGGATCCAGAATGGAATGCTCGCTGACAGGAGGCAACCGCGCGAGAGATCATTGACCTGAGAGAGGGAGGGAGAGAGAGAGAAAAGGTCGAGGCGAGAAGGTGACGAAGGGGGAGAGAAGGGAGGGGGAGATTGGGGAGAGAAGGGAGGGGGAGAGAAGGGAGGGGGGGAGAGGGGGGAGGGGAGGGGGAGAAAGAGGGAGAGGACGGGCTGACGGACGGGTGGGGGGTGGGGGATCGGAGTTGCTCAACGCTTGAGCGTGGGAGTTTCTCATCAGGAGTTTCCAGTAAAACTCAGTGACCAGAAATAACACAGTCACACCGTGTACGTGCTCCCTCATCTACACCCCCCAAACCCCTCCTTCCCTCTCTCTCTCAGAGAGACAGACAGGGGAGGAAAGGACAGAGAGGGAGGCAGGACAGGGAGATAAGAGAAGGGGAGAGAGAGAGGGGAGGTGGGAGAAAGAGAGAGGGGAGGGGAGTGTGTGAGAGAGAGAGAGAGACAGAGAAAGAGAGAGAGAGAAAAGAGGAGGGAGAGAGGGTGACGGAGAGGGAGAGAGGGTGACGGAGAGAGAGAGAGACACAGACAGACAGAGCGACAGACAGAGAGAGACAGAGACAGAGGACTGGGGAGAGTGTTGGGAGAGAGAGAGAGAGGAGGGTGGATGGGGGGGGGGGGGGGGGGGGAGAGAGAGAGAGGGGGGGGGGGGTGGGGGGAGGGGGGGGAGAGAGAGAGGAGAAGGGGGAGATAGAGGAAAAAGAGAGAGGGGAGGGGAGTGTGTGAGAGAGAAAGAGGAGGAGAGAAACAGAGATAGAGAGAGAGAGACACAGAGAGAAGAGTGGGGAGAGCGAAAGAGGGAGAGTGACGGAAAGAGAGAGACACGTACAGACAGAGCGACAGACAGACAGAGAGAAAGACAGAGAGAGGGGGAGGAGTGGGGAGAGTGATGGGAGAGAGAGAGGGGGGTTGATGAGAGGGGGTTGGAGAGAGA